AACCGCCCCTAATTGTCCCCAACCGCCCCTAAGCGCCCCTAACTGTCCCCAACCGCCCTTGACCGTCCCTAACTGTCCCCAACCGACCTAACAGTCCCTTATCGCCCCTAATCTTTCCCAACCGCCCCTAGCCGCCCCCTATCCCCTCTTACTGCCCTCCGTGGAAGATTCGTTCGATTTTGCTCATCCTATCGATGAAAGTAGCGTGAGGCCAGTGACGGGATTGGAGATTTACCTATTCTCTCTCTCTCTCTCTCTCTCTCTCTCTCTCTCTCTCTCTCTCTCTCTCTCTCTCTCTCTCTCTCTCTCTCTCTCATGGTCATGTAGCACACACACGGAAGGGTGATGGGTACAACCATAACTCCCTTAGTCGAGGCAGGAGCCTTCCAATTTCGAAAGTGGACAATTTTGAAGTTGGGAGGCTATTTTCTGAAATATTTTTCTCGCCGTTCGCGCCAGGAAAAAAAATTGTGACTAAGAAAAAAACAGCTCCGCCGGTCTACATATTTCCTGGGAAGAAGGGAAGGGGGGGAAGGGGGGGAAGGGGGATCATATTATATACGGTTACCCGACATAATTGCTTACCCGCCCATACCCATTTTATTTTATTTTTCACCACCGTATAACGGCTGTACCCATGCTTTTTTTTTTCTTAGCCGCCCATACCTGCATTTTTTTCCTTTTCACCGCCAGTATTTGCCCATGCCTACCCGTGATCTCCACGCAGTGCAACCGTGCCTGCCCTAAACTCCACAAATAAAATTTATGCCTGCCCATACCGATGTCCCCCTCCGGAAGGGTACCCGTACCTGCCCTTAACATGCCGGTTACAGTTGGGTACGGTCAGGTACGGTGTCGGCGCGAATACCCTGACAAGGGTATCCGCCCTTGCTTTTGCAAGTGACCGGAAGTACGGGTAGAGGTCTAGAGTGTACCGCGCGAGACGCGGCTCCGTCTGTTTGGTTACGTAGGTAAGTTGCTTGATTAGARTGGAGMGGGTGTGGGSGCGCRAGATTAAGGCGCGCGTGTGATTTTTCTACTTTGGATTWTGCAACCGGCAKAGTTGGCCGGCCTGACTCTGGCTACTAGGAATGAGAGGTGCCCTTGGTAGACCGTTGGTAGTCTAACGTGCGGAGTAGGGTGCGGGGCGGCCACGGCGCAAAGCGGGCAAGCCGGCATAGGAGCCTAGCAGTGGCGTGCCTAATGGGAGGCAGGAATGAGGCCTGGGGGCTGCGCCGCACCTGTTCATATGGAATACCGCGCTGGCCAATACTAGGCTTGGGCTTAGCCCTATAGGTTATCGTTGGACTATCACGACAGAAGTACGGGGTTCGAGGCGACCGGGCAGCAGCATGGGAGAGATGGGGCATTAAAGGAGTTGAAGGGTTGAGGGTCCCGTGGGACTATCCCCTTTTGTCTTGGTGGGGGAGACCAACCACGGGCCCGCTTGGCGGGACCAGGGGGATGCTGGTGGGGTCTGCCCCCCCCCCTCCCCTCCTTTTTTATTTTGATTTTTATTGTTTATTTATTTGTTATTATTATTTTTTTCCTATCTCGTCTCATTTGCAACCGGTCCAATCCAAGCGGACGATATTGCTACTGGGGAATGGACGGGGGCGGTACGGCTACAAGTGCACCGTCCTCCACCCCCGATCTGCTGTGAGAAGGTTGAGTGCTGTCTCTTATACACATCTAGATGTGTATAAGAGACAGGTCTGGGGACTCCAGCCAGCGTTGGCAGCGGTGGG